GAAGAACAAGGAAAGCAATAGCCTCTCAATTAATAATTTGTCAAAAAGTCCTAATACAATAAAAGTTTTTGGTATTTATACCAAACCGTAGAAATTAGGTATAAAACGTGCATAATCTCATAAATATGGTAGGAGTTTAATTAAACATAGGATTCTATCAAATAAGGAAAAAAGGCGAAATAATGAAATAATCTGGCCAGAATTTGCTCTATACGACCGCATAGGCATCTGCCTTGCGGTCGCATAGTCTTCAATTTGACCCCAACCAGTTTCGGTAATTGGCTATGCGACCACATATCTTGAGTAACTATGCGGCACATAGTTACCCGTTTCACCTCCTTCTTTCGTGGCTTCTATTAAGTTGATCCATCTCGATTCCGGCCTCGACCCCAACACGGAACTTGCTTCATTCTTCATCACGATCGTCATATCGACAACCGTAGCTTGAACGAGGAATGTCATTGCATCTTTCACTCGCTTTGTCCTCGATCGAATCAACGGTCAGTCTTCCACTTGCAATAAATCCTTCCCTGGACTTTTCCTCGTTTCGATGGCACCTTGGATCATATCAGTTGTCGTATGTTGTTTTTGTTGTAGTGAATGTACTAGTCAATGTGTCTAACTCGAAGAAGTGTATACAATTACATTCTCAAGCAACTCACCATCTTGCGGGACATATTAAGCCCCTATTTGGTCTTGCTGAAATTTTATTTTCAATAGATTTTGATAAAAATTAATAAAATATTTGATTGAATAATAATCATAGATCCAATATAGAGGGTGTTTAGTGGGGATTAAAATTAGATTTTTAGTGGATTGTGATAGAAGTTTTTGAAATGTGTGGTTGAAAAGTTGTGGAACTCATGAAAGATGTGGTTAATAATGATTGTTTGACTTTGACTTGAATTAAAATCAGATATTTGAGTTGTTTTAGGTCAAGATATGTCTTCATGTTTATCTTAAACAACAAATTGGAAAATTTGCATGATCAAAAAAGGCAACAAATAGAATGAAACAAATGATATAAAATAAATCCCAACAAGTTTGAATGTACATATCTTATTTTTCACGCCTCCACATAGTATTGAAACAAATAAGATTGATTTGTCTATAATTTATTTTCTTTCTATGTAATTATATGCTTGCAATCAAACGCACCCATAAAAGTGAGTTTGATTGACTTTATTTTCTATGGAAAACGTCATTTTTCCACCCTAATTTCTACTTTTGGGGTGTTTGATTGACAATTTTTTCCATGAAAAATATTTTCCAACTTTTTGTCATGTGATCATATTTTCCTCAAAAATAAGGAAAACATTTTCTTTGGGAAGGATGATTTTTATTTTCCACATAATTCACTTTCTTTCTCTCTCTCTTATATATATATACCCTCTCATGTATCCACCAATAAAAAATAGATAAATACAATATTTTTTCAAAAAAATGTTATTCATCCCCACTGGGGAGCATCCCCAGTCTATGTGGCGTTAATGTAACATTAAATAATAGGTGAAATTAAATAAGTCATTTAATTTCACCTATCATTTAACCAATCATTTACATCCATATAGACTGGGGATGCATCTCCACTGCGGATGAATAGCATTTTTTTATTTTTTTAGGTTGAAAACTAAATCAATTAAACATATTTAATTAATAATTTGCGTACAAATAAGTTCTAGCCAATTGAATAGCCTAGAATTCATTTATTTTTTCATGCAAATTTCATATTCGTAATCAAAATTTTGAAAAATAAAAGTTAAATTAAATAATTTGTTTAAGTTGGGTATATATCTTATCTTTCATGCCTGCACATACTGTCGAGTATAATAGAGCTGTGAAATCGCAACATGTCATATTCACAACTCGACAAGTAATCTCCTTCACCATGCAGTCCAAGCTTCGCGTGACTTTTTTCTAGTTACAACTTGTCTAATTATACATATAAGAATCGTGAATTTCATAATCATACTTTAATCCTCACACAACTCGATCGAATTAGCTACGGCTTAAAACATGTGTTAAATGTCACTTTGAGCTGTACAAAAACGAGTAAGACACAATATTAAAGAAACAATGGGACTACAGTTCGAGTAATTTGAAGTTTAAATAATATATTTTGGATGAAATAAGTAATTGTTTCAAAATAAATGTGTGAACAATTCTATTTGATTTCATGCGATTTTTAACTATCGAAACTTAAATCAAACTGAATCCAAATGGTTTGATTCGATTTTGAAACAGTCGAAATTTAAATTATGTGAACCCAAACCAACAATTTCCAAAACCACGATTATGATTCAGTTCGACAGGTTAACGATTTTTTTGTTGCAAAGTTTGCCACTACAAAATTTCCTCCAACAAAAAAACCCCATTACTTATGCCACCATTCCAGGATGTTGAACACATAACTAACTCAATCCCTGCAAACAAAAAACGAACCCTAAGACCCCATCTCGAAATTGATCCAAAATCTTAGCCAAAAAACTGCCTAAACCAACCCCGAAGTTAATTAGCTACACCAAGAAGTGCCACGCACACCCTCCAGTCCTCCCACCAAATTTGTACTGTCCTCCCACCAAATTTGTCTAGCCCTCTGGCAGCATGGCAGCATGGCGTTGCACCAAACCAGCAACCGATAAAGTTCATGAGCCCGACCATTATTGACACGGACTTTGCTGAAACATCCTTTTTCTGGAAAAAGATCTGTCGACAATTTACGTACAGCAACTGAATTCAGTATTGATAAAGTTAGTTGTGGAATAGTCCCTTCCAAAAATCCTCCCTTCCATGAATGCTTAGATATCTTCACAATTTCAACATTGCATAGCCCAAATTTGAACCATTTAACAGCTTTAGGAACTCCGATGACAGAGAAAACTACACCCAATAAAATAATAAAAGCTAAAGGAAGAGAAAATATAATTTTTTCTCGAATCCTTCCTTCTTTGAGGCCTGATTGAAGGAAGAGAACTGATAGCGTTATGCAAGATCATATGCCATTAAGAAATCAGATGGCTATGCTTTTGATAGTGAGACAAAAGGTATCTTTGTAACTACAAATGATGAGAATAATCTTGTAATTTCTCCATAAAAGAATATGTTTTTTATACTTTGTCATTATTGCATGTTTATTATTCCGATTTCAGTTATACAATAATTTTCCATGATCTCGAACTAAGTTATCATCGTTTATGTGTTTTCAAGTCAAGATTCAAGAAAGGCATTTTCCGTGAACTAAGTTATCATCGTTTATATGTTTTTTAAGGTCGAGATTCAAGAAAAGCATTTTCCATGTGAACTAAATTATCGTTGTTTATGTGTTTTCGAGGTCAAGATTCAAGAAACGCTTTCTAAGAACATTATACACAAATTAATCATTATCAATTCTTACTTAAAATATATTAATTAGTTGTGGAAACGTGATTAAGCCGCCTCAGATGAACCTGACAACAAATTAATGGCTGCTAATCCCACTTTAGGTACGACCCCACTATGCAGAAATTACTTTAAAAAAATTTCATTCAAATATATTTAATTACAAGTTATTCCAGAAAAATTTGCGTGTTAAATACTTTATTTTTCCGTAGGATAGTTGCTAGCATGTGTTGTTGGAGATGAAAGGGTAAAACAACAAATTCCCTTAGGTCATTATTGTGTGCACGGCTCGAGTTCCAATATGAGTTTTGATTACATCAAAGTACTTGTTTGGTAGTGCTTAAAATTTGTAGATCTTACGAAATGTGTGAACAATATGTGAAAAGCAAATTGTTATGGCCAGCTTAAATAATAAATTAAGCTTTGCCAAGCAATTATTAATTGAAACCTTATCTTCTTCTTTCTAAATGAGGACAACACATGGGTTTCAAGATGAAATTTATATATCTAAACAACCTGATTTAAAAATTTTCAGTGGATAGTGAATGCTTGCACGTTTTTATTTTCGACATGCTTTTTAATATGATTTTTTTACGAAAAACATGATACGTGCAAGATGTGAACTCAAGACCTTCAATTTGAGCATACTTTGACATATAGCAAGCACATTGAACGAAATATCAGTTATTGAGATGGTTAACGAAGTATCAAAACTTTGCTTCCATTCATTTAATAAATTTTTATGTACGTATGTAATCTATAATTAAAACAAATGAATTTGAATTACATGTAAGGACATGTACATCGTGACATTGGAAAAATGGACATTGTTTGAGAAATAATTAACATCTTGTTTGATAAAACTTTAACAAAATTTTATCAACTTTTTAACTCATCAAAATTAAATATTAATCACACATTTTATCGGTTTCACAATTTTATTAACTTTTCAATCACATATTTCATCATTTTTTCTTAAAATCTGCTAAAACTTTTATCAGAAACTTCGGCATACATGCCCTAAATTGTATTGTTAAAATCCAAGATTTCTTGACATTAATTTTATTAAACAATACTTTTGTGGTCTCAATGGAGACCTGGAGGTTTAAAGTTAAAATAGGATAAATTGCATGGTCAAGAATGACATCCCAAGCAAAATTCTGGTGAGGTTCCACTCTTCGGACAGTCATATTATTTTTAATGAAACATATATTATTAAACAACTTTCCTTGCTATTGTATTGGTATTCTGAACTCTATATATATAGGTAGCAATATATGCATGCATTACTCATTACAATTTACAAGTATTTCCTAATATAATCTTTCTAACAAGATGATGTCAAAAACTAGCCTCTCTCAAAGGAACTCGAGAAATTACTCAACTATTGGAGCACCGGCGCCCCTGTCCCCGACCATCGATAGGTACCTCTGCCTCTCCTCTCTATATATGACCGTTTCGTCTAAAAAAATATTTTTTTATAGAGAAGTCATCTGTATATATTCATTTAAATCTTGTTTTCAAGATCTGATTATTCCTTTTGTGATTTATATAGAATTGAGTCACAATCAAAGGCTTCATTGGACACACAGAACCCTAAAACCGCCGTCTCTGCCACGACCACCACAACCACAGGAAGGTCCAAGACGAGCGTCCATGTAACAGCCCTCGACAGCATAGTGAACGTCAACTCACTCTTCACCATGGCAATCTTCATAGGCTTCTCCCTGACTGTGCCTGCTGCCGGCAGCGCCGGGACTCCGGCATCATGCACCGCTAGCATCAAAACAATCAGGAGACTTATCGTTTTTGAAGTGATTTCGTTCAGTTTCTTTCTCTTTTCCTCACTCATAGCCCAAAGTCTCAAGCTAGCAATCAACTTGTTGAACAATTTAGATGCAACCGACCCTCATAAAGCTGATATTGACTCTTCTTTCCACAAATACGCCTTGTTTGGCTCCGCCATTGGATCTGTAATGGGATGTGTGTTCTTGATGCTTTCGATTGTGGATTTCGTTCAGGTGAAACTGGGCATACTTTCTTGTGGAAATGAACCTGTATACGCCGTCGTAACACTGGTTGTATTAGTAGGTTCTGCCTTACTGGTTTATATTACTACTTCCATATATGCAGCATTTTTTATGTAATCTAGTTTTTAGAGAGAAATAGCGGAATGTGATTAGATCTGCAATAAAGGTGAAAGTGCACCTATCTACTTTGTGTTGGATATAAAATTTGTATTTGAAAATAAAAGTTTTCAGAATCGATTTGCGAAAACAGTAAGGACAGAATGTAGGAATTTAAAATATTACAAAAAGTAACATGAAACTAGTAAAACAGAAAGCTGTAAAAAATTGCTGTAAACGGAATGAGGATGATCGAGGCGAGAACTATGCTC